CAGTTCCATGTCCTGCTCTCGATGCTGTGTCCATCTGATCTTGGCATCAATTTTCATGGGAGTTGGTATTTGGGAGAATTTCATTGTCCGATGTGTGTCAGGGAGGAATGAATAAACAACCAGAGCCCTGGAGATTTGCAATATCATCAGTGAGGTAATTTTGTGGCAGTCATGTGCTGTGGTTTGTGGGTTCCTTGTGAAGATTGGGCTCCTTTTCTGTGCTGCTGGATGTCCATCAGTCATTGTGTTTCTCCCAGGAATGCTGAGGGAGCTGCTGATATCCTGGGAAGGTCACTCTGCAATAACAGCTTGGAAAGATTCCAGCGCCTTGGAGCTCTTCCTGATGGATGAAAGGGAGGTCTTGGCCTTGTGTCTTGAATGGGACCACAAGATCTGGTGAACGAGAGGCTATTCAGGCTGAACCTGTTCCATTTTTATGGTCTACCCGGATTTCTCAAATTTTAATTTCAACATACTCTTACATGTAAAGTGCATTCCTTGACCTCATTCAGAAATCCAATAACAAACAACAAACGGGGCCAAATCCCTTTGTTCCCAGGCTGGTCTGTGGCATCAATTCCCTTATTCTGCATTCAGGCCATCAGGTTTCATAATGATTTATATCCTGTAAATTGTAATATTGCTTTCCTGTGAGCAAAACCCAGTAATTGCTACCTGATGGTCAGCGTGCTCTCCTTTCCCTCTCTGTCATGATGTGGGTGTGCCTTTATGGAATTCCACTATTCCATGTCCTTCTCTTGAGGTCCTGTCCTTCTGACCTTGAGGGCAGTGTTTAAGTGTGAGTTATTGCTATTTGAGGGTGGGTGGCATTTGGGAGGGTTTGCTCTGAAGATGAGTGCCAGGGAGGGCTGAATAAACAACCAAAATTCTGGGGAGGTGTGGGTGTCATCTGCAAGGTCACCCTGTGGCACTAGTGTGCTGTGGTTTGTGGTTGTGTTCTGAAGAGAGGCTCCATTCCCTCCCAGCCCTCTCAGGCTGTTCTGGGATTTGCAGGTGTGTAGAACTGTTGCCCCTTCCCTCACATTCCATTGCTCCCCACCTTGATGCCACCTGGCTGAGCCTGACACTAGACCTGATCTTTCCTGTTGACTGTGCTCTGTAGGTGTCTTGGTGCCCCTCTTAATTTTAAGGTTTTAATATCTGGGGACATTGGGGTCTTTACTGGGGCTGAGTGCAAAGGGCTGAGGCCACTTTTGATTGTCAGAAAGAGGATTTGCCCAGGGTTGTTGTAGGTGAGCATTTCATGATCCTTGAAAACCCAGGCAAGTCCAGGTTATGTCAGTGTCCAGCATGGTGGCCTGAGAAAGATCTGAAGAACTGGGCCCAGAGGCTTGTGGTCAGTGTCCCAAAATCCTGATGGCAGCAAGTCCCCAGTGCTGTAGTCCAGGAGTTGGATCCTTTCGGCCAACACTGAGTGGTCCTGGAATCTGCTGGAGCTCAGCAAGGACAGCTGCCAAGTGCTGTTTGTTGGGAGGAATGAGAGAGTCATTGCAGGTAGGAAGCAATATATTATCAGTTGGACCAAAAATTTTCTTTCCCAAAATGCCTTTGTGGTTGTGGGTGAGAAGAAATGTAGCAGGATGTGTCCCTGTACCCCTGTGGGAAAAGGGACCCCAAGGTTCCAGGGCAAGATGTGCAAAAGTGCTGGGATGAGGTAGTGGGAGGTGACTGCTGGTGTTTGCACAGCACTGGTGAGGTCCAATCTGAGGTGTTGTGGGCAATTCTGGGCTCCCCAGTGAGACCAGCTCAGGACCACTCAGATACAAATGGGCCTGGAAAATGACTCCTAGATGAGAAACTGAGACAGTCAGGACTCGCAGGGGACAAGGATGGACGGGGGGATGTCATCAGTGTGTGCAAATCCCTGATGGGCAATGAAGACAAAGGAGCCCAGCTGTTCACAGCAGTGCACACATACAGGGCGAGAGAGCAAAGGCCCAAGCAAAAGAGATGGAATTCCATGGGCAAAGATGACAAGAACCTTTCATTGTGAGAGGGCCACAGAGTGGAAGAGGTGGTGGAGTCTCGATCCTGGGAGTGCCAAATCTGAACTGTCCAAGGTACTGGAAACTCTGCTCCTGCTGGTCTTGCTTCAGCAGGGCAGTTGAAGCAGTTGCACCACAGAGTTCCTGCCTGAATGATTGATATTGTTTCTGTCTTTGCTGGAAGGCTTAAAGAGTCCTGGCCAGGAAGAGAGTTTATCAAGTGTGCACTGGCATGGAGTGACTTTTCCATTTTTGTACAAAGAGAACTGCTGTGTCAAAACCTTTGGTGTAGCAGTTTGCAGAGTGTGCGACACATTTTGCAAAATGTCCCTTCCTGTGCCAGACTTTGTTATTAGCTGTTTTGAGATGTATGTTAGGAAAAGTATTGTCGCCCTTTTTCAAGTACTCTCAACGGTCTGTAGAGCTCTAGAATATAGTGGGAGAGAATGCAAGACCATTGGAATATAAAAGATAAGGAGACATCCCAGGTTTGATGCAGAAAAACTTTATTGATGTAAAAGAATTAAAAATCAGGAGAAATAAGTGGAAATAATTTGTGCTGAGGTGCAAGTAAGAAGACCACCAACCGAGGTGCTTTGCTAGCAGGAGCTGTTGTCAGAGCCCCAAGCTGGTGGTTGGTGTCAGGAGTGGTGCTGAGGGTCCTTAGCAGTTGTAGCCGCCCCTTCTGCCATAGCAGCCCAGGCCTCCCAGCCCATAGCCACAGCCCAGCCCATAGCCAAATCCACGGCCATAGCCAAAGCCACCAAAGCCACCAAAGCCACCAAATCCACCAGAGATGGGCTGTCCCTGCACACTGAGTTCAGTGCCCACGGCAGCCGAGGAGGTGGATCCGACAACGGTGCTCTGGGGGAAGGAGGTCATGATGGGTCCAGGAAGGGTGACCATCACAGGGGAAGGGTTGATGATGACGCGGGAGTCCTGGCATTGCAGGGCACAGGGCTCGTTGCAGCTGTTGGCCAGCGGGGTGGGTCCGCAGGGTTGGCAGAGGTTGTTGCAGGCCATGGGTGTGGTGTGGAGGGTCCCTGGAAGAGAGGGTGGTGAGGCAGGTCAGGGGTGTGGGGGTTTGAGGGGTGGTGATGCAGAATGGTGAGGGAGTGTGGAGGCTGTTGTGGGGCTGTGGAGAGGGGTGAGGGCTGCTGAGGCTGGGTCCGAGCGTGGTGGAAGAGAGGGGTCGGGGGTGCAGGAGCAGAAGGGTCAGGGGCTTGAGACTCACCTTGTTGTTAGAAGGAAGAGAAGGTGTGAGGAGATATGTGTGAGGAGAGAGGCTCTGGGCTGGCTTTTATGCTGGTTCTGGAGGGGTGGGACAGCCTTGTCCCATGGCCTTGAGGCGTTTTGGAAGCAGCAGCATCTCTTGCCTGGCCCAGCCTGGCATGAAGTTCATTACATGGGGAGTGTTTTCATTCATATAGTTCTGCAATTCCAAGTCATGCACTTGAGGCTGGCTTCATCTGACCTTGGCAGCAGCTTTAATGAGTTGGTATTCGGGAGGGTTTGATTGTTCAGTGTGTTTCAGGGTGTGCTGAATAAACAACCAGAGCCCAGGAACAGTGCAATGTCATCAGTGATGTCATTTTGTGGCACTTGTGTGCTGTGGTTTGTCGGTGCCTTGTGAAGAGTGGGACTCTGTTTATTGCCGCTGGATGTCCATCAGTCATTTTGTGTCACCCAGGAATGCTGAGGGAGCTGCTGATGTCCTGGGAAGGTCACTTTGCAAGATCTCCGTGCTTGGATGGAAGAAAGCTCGTGGCCTTGTGTCTTGAATGGGATCAAGAGACGGGATCTGGAAAATGAGAGTCTTTTCAGGCTGTACTTGCTCCAGTGTTCTGGTTTGTTTGGATTTCTCACATTTACACCACAGCATACACTATCATTTAAATTGTATTTCTACACCTCATTCAGAAATCTAATAATGAAGAACGAACCTCATCCCATCAGTTTCTTGTTGCAGCTGCTCTGTGATGTCAATTTCATCCTTCTGCATGCAAGCCATCAGGTTTCATAACTTTTGTCCTATAATCTGTGTTTCTGTTAGCAAAATCCAGTAATTACTAGAGGGCAGTCAGCGAGTTCCTCTCCTTTGTCATGATGGGCGCGAATATTTTTGGCGTTTTGTAATCCATGTCCTTGTCTTGAGACCGTGTCTATTTGACCTTGGCATATTGTCAATATGCCACAGAATGACTTCAGTGATGACTTCCCAGTTCTCCAAAGCGTTGGTAGATTCATGTACATGTCCTGACATGTGCTATCACCAACAAGATAATGGTCACTAATTCTATCCATTAAGAGGTGCCGCCTAGGTCAAATGAAAACAGCCTCAAGTAAAGGACATGGAGTTGAGGAGTCGAAGTAAAGAAAACACTCCCCACCTCATGACTCACCAGGCTGAGACAGGCAAGAGCTGCTGCCTGAAAAATGCCCCAAGGCCATGGGAGAAGGCTGTCCCGCCCATCCAGAACCAGCATAAAAGCCAGCCCAGAGCCTCTCTCCCTCACACACTTCTCCTGATACATTCTACTCCTGCTCCTCCTGACAACAAGGTGAGCTCAATCCCCTGA